TAAGGAGCATGTGGGACGCTTCTCTGGTTTTCAGAACTGCAGCATAGGTCTGAAGCATTTTTTGCTGGAGGTGGCAGGCCAGTTGGATGCCTTTGCTCAGTCTACGCACTGCCATGAGCACAGAGCAGGTCCTGGCTGAGCCACTCACAGTAGCTGGGACCAGCACTGCTCCTGGCTCAGCACAAGGAACATACAGCCCATGGCATATTACGTGCAGAACTGACCACTTGCAGCTCCACTCACACCTGGGCTGAGTTAGAGCCACCTGGCCATGCAGCCCCCATCTGCATCTTTCTGATAGGAGTGTTCAGGTGAATCATCCTCACTGAGCATCAGGTGGGCTGAGTTTAACTGTAGAGCATTACACCTGGTGGAAATGGTTTGAGCCCCCAGGGAAAAGAAGGATGATAAAATTAATAAGTAAATAAATAAATTTAAAATCAAATTTCCTCTCACTGACCTTATTAACATAAAATAAGGATATGTAGAAGAGTAGCCATCCTTTTTCAAAAGACTGGACCTTTTCCAAAGACTAGATGAACATTTGGATAGCTATTATGGATTATTCCTTTCTATATATGAAATAGGAGCCTAATCTAGAGACAGTTCATAAAACTGAAACTAGCCTTCTTAACTGAGCATTTCCATGACCAGAAGCCCCCAAACTCTCCTGTAATCACAATTATACATAAATATATACATACATACATTACCTTTCCTAACTGTGAAAATTTCCATGGCTAGGAGCCCCCAAAATCATCCTCTGGTCATGATTAAGTTTAAATACACACACATACAAATAAATAAGCAAATAAATAAAAATTTTGCTCAATGGAAAAAAAAGCCCAAAATTTTATCTTTTTTTTTTTTTTTCAGACTATTACAGCTGATAAATCAATATCATTTCCTGATTTATTGCTGCATAGATCAGCATTACAACAGTCTTCGCACATCTCAGTCTCGCTACGCAAGAATGTAAGAACACTTTATGTGACTTAGCTGTTTTTTCAGTGACTGAGAAATGCTTTGTGATTGGGAAGAAGCAGTAAATACACACTGCTGGTATATAGAATAGCCTTCCGAAAAGGATTTCAGGGTCGAATCCTGTCTATGTTTACACTGCGTAAATCAGTGTAACTCCAGTGAAGCTAACAGAGGTAGTCTGGTGTCAAACCCATGTGGATAAAAGGATCAGGCCCTCTAAGCTTTAAAGTTATGAGTCTTTTCAAACTGCAGATCTACTGTCAACATTTCAGTGATTACTTCTCTTTTTTCCAACACACAAACATAAAATAGTAACAAGATTATCAGATTAAAGAGCCAAAGAACAGCCAGTTTATTATACTCTTGCATCTAAAACATTCAAATCTTATAGGTTTCCTTCCCACTCTACATCTTGTAGGGGGAGATTGACATGTTTGTCTGTATTCGGCTTTAATTTTTTTTAATGGCAGTCTGGTATAGCTGTGTAGGAAAATAAATCAACCATAATATAATGAATTGCACAGTGCAGTAAGAAAGAAAAAGATACTCCCAGACCACCTAAACAACCCTTCTGAACATTTCAGCTTTAAAACAAAATAAAAAATCTTTGCTTGTTTTCTGCCAGTCCCCATGAAGGAGGAATGACAGGACAAACAGAATGAACAGGACAGAGCTGTTTAAAGCTAAAAATGTGCAAATGATGCATTCCTTCTGGGAGAGGAAAAATGTACAACCCACCACCTTTGCATCAGTATAAATTATTTAAATCAGAGATGGTTTGTCTTGAACAGATTGCATAACTGTTGCACAACTAATGTGTACAAGTGTGTCACTAATTTAATTTTAATTTTACTGTATGAGTTTGTATAAGATCCCCCAGCTGTCATGTGCTCATCATCTGTCACAGAACTATCACTAAGCCATGCTGGGCTAAGACAGGATTATAAACGATGAACTGCCATGTGCTCTAAATCTTCTTATTTGCCTAGCCTGGAAGGTATGCCCTGTAAAATTTGATTGGCAGCGTGCTCTATTCTGTCAATTGACTTTGAAGGCCTTTTCTATTGGTGCTTTCAGCGGATCTCAGTAGCTGTATTGACTGTCACCTGCTGACTTCAGCACGTGCCTGACCTCAGCCCTGCGCCGAGGCTCCTTCCCACTCGCCGCTGCATGGCAGGGCCGGCTCGCTCTGGTGGCACGTGCAGCACATAAGGGCATATGGCTGCCTAGTTGTGTGCAGAATAGAATAACTGAAGCCAAGCAGCCCCGCACTGTTATTACAGCAGATGGGGGAAGCGTGGCATTCAATATTAAGACAGATGCCACCTCCTTATTCCACCTGTCTGGAACTTGGACATGGGACAGAATGAGCTGTCTGCCTAATAATTAAGAAAACAAAGACTGCATTTATGAAGCTCAGCAGAGCACCATATCTGAGAAGCATGCACAGATATAATTGTTGACTATAACAATAAGGAAATGTAGACTACTGCTCATCAGATGTTCAGATACATATACACAATTACAGTAGGAAACTGTACTGTTCCCAGCTGCTTTTGTAGTCTTTTATTTAGGCTGGTTGTGCATTAAGTTAAACGGGAGAAACAAGTTGGCTGGCATTATTACTGTTATAAATAACGCTTTAAAATTACAGTGAAGTTCCTTAAATAACAAAGCACCTACCGTTCCCCCTAACAGTCACTGCTGTTATTGTGCTATGCCCTTTCTTGCAAATTTGCTCTTTGCTTCTCAGTAGTCAACTGTTTTTGTAACAGCCAGAGAGAAGAAAAACATGCTTTTCAGGACCATTATTATTTTCACGTATTTTTACACAACAATTTGCCTCTTTCTTTGGTGGTGTTAAAAAAATGATAACTGTGTAAAAAATAAGGCCTGGCTTCTTGGCAGTTATGCTATATTTTGTTTCTTTTATTTAATCCCACTTAATTTGGGACCAATTATTATTGAACACACCATGCTTTGTGATGGGAATGATTGCGCTGGAGAGAGTGTGATCCTCCCTGGGTTTGAGCCTGGGCTTGCCGGGGTGGCAGTGGGCTGGGTTGATGGCCGTGGTCATACTATATGATTGCACCAGGTCTCTGGCCCTTGTACAGCCCAAGGGCCTCCAGGACTCCACAGAGACTGAGGCTGGGGTCTCCAATTATTGCGTAGGCTCAATAGCACCTATATATTGCCTCGGCTTGGGTCTCAGCCCTCCTGAGTGGCAGGCATCAGGCTGGCCCAAGCTATGCACCACATTTTTGAAGTGAATTCCTCCCTCGTAAGGGAAATCCCAACCACGGCCAAATCCAGTTGTGCTGCTGACACCCAGCCTCCCCCTTATGTATCTGCACAAACCCACGAGTTCTGTGGAATTAGGTACTTGGCTATAGAATTGAGCAGGTCTTGGCTGGGTAAAGATACTTCTCTGTAGAAGCAGTAAGCCATGAATGCCTATGATTGAGAACCTAGTGTGATCCAGGAGATATTTTTAATACCTCTTACCTACCTCTGACCCTCTTCTAAATACCCTGTAAGAATGACGCCCATCCTTAAATCTCTCTAATTAATTTTATTCTCTTTTGTCTGAAGGAATTCAAAGGCAGCTTAAAAAAATCATCTATGTCTGTTCTGGGATTTATCTGTAAATGGCAATTGGAATAAAGATGAATAAGTTGAAGAAAATGAAAATGCAGGAATAAGTGTTAAGGGCATGTGTACTGTGTATACATTATGTTTACGCTTAAGGATGTGCAGAGTGCCTATTGTCTCAGCAAGCCATGAAAATGGGCTTTTATGTTTATATACATATATTTGTATACGCATACTTGCATATATATATAAGTTATGTAAACAAAACATTTCAATTGAATAATTGAAATTTGAAAGGTAGAAGGATCACATGCAACACAACAAGCAAAGCTTGATCTTCACATTGATGTGTGTATGTAAATATATACTCATTTAGAAACATATATATTTAAATATTTACAATAGAAATTATTAGACATCATAGATGTATGTGTGTGTTTAATATACACACATAGGCATGCTGAAGCTACTGCAGTTATGTAATAACACTCATAGACTGTTTTATACTATTTATAACAGATGTATTTAACTCAGACAGCTCGTCCTTGGGAAAAAAACAAGTACCAGATGTATTAGATTCTCCAAAGCACAGAAATCACATGTAACACGTTGCAAAAGCTAATCAAAACCCCAACTTCTTTTCATAGAAAAGACAGCATTAAAAAAAGACACAGATACATATTACAAGATGAGGATCAATTTGAAAAGATCTCACAATATCTGTTACCAAGAGCTTTGTTAATCTTTAAAAACCTAGAATGATTATTTATAGGGAAGCTGTGAATTAACTAGGCTTTAATAAATAGCTCACAGGCATGTATGTCAAGATTGTACTTTTTGTTTTTATGTGTCTGTATTTGGAAAAAAAAACCAAATCAACAACAAAAAAAGAAGCCATTATTTGTTTTTTTTTGTTTTTTTTTTCTTTTTTTTTCTGTAACAATTATTTCAAATTAAAAGCCCATCTGACGAAAGGCATATGGATGGAGAGGGGGTTCAGTCCTAATTGAACAAACCAGGACTCGTGAGGTTAATTACAGATATTAACGCTGTTGTTCGTCAGCTTCTTGCCCTCACGAAGGTTCCAGCTTCCAAATGACCTGGCTCCAACAATAAGACTCTCTTTAGCCCATTAACTAATTGATAAAAATGTGAGTGTTTAGAATGAGTCTAATTAAATCACCAAGCCTTACAATTACGAGTCCATTTGGTAGCTGTCGGGAGATGGGTAACCTCAGCTGGCATTGTAGGCGAATAAAAGATAAAAATAAAAGGGAGCTTAACCAAAGATCATTTTGAAAGCTGTTCATTTGAAGACAAAGTACACATTTGCTTGAAATGTATACATACACCACTTCAGACTAGCACAGCGTCTTGAAAAGAAAATGGAGCGTTTAGTAATCATGACTTTTTTTTTTCCCAGCACATGCATGAAATTCTCTCCAGCCTGTGTGATGGAATGAGCTACTTTTATATTCATTACTGAGTTACAGTAGTAAGATTCCTTGAGAGTACCCAAATAGCTAATAGCAGGTACCTCTATGTTCTTAACAATTTTTTTTTTCTTACCCTTTCATAACTGCAGACTCTGCAGACGCACATCCCTGAGTCCCCACACTGGTTGAGGCTGCTGCTGTAGAGACAGTCCTCAGGCAGGGAACTCAGAATAGTTCTCTGATGTCCCATTTGTGAGGTTGGCTTACTTGTACACATCATGGGTGCCTTTGGTAAGGGGGCTGAACAATATTTTGCATGTAGAAACTCCTGCTGAAGGTGCGCCTAATGTCCTAAACATCACATACAATGCTCATCTCACCGTGCCAGGCAAAGATTTAGATATAAAAAAGGATGAAGAGGTGGGTGATAATGTTTGCTGAAGGAATGGCTTCTATAGAAGGAATCCTAAACTGACAGGTTGAAAAAGAAAAAAATGAAGTTGGATATCATTAGAGTCTATAATATGAAAAGAGGAATGGAGAAGGTGACCAGGAATGACTATGCACTGTCTCATGGGAATATCAACCAAAACTGATCATCTGATAGCTTCAAAACAAATGAACGGAATAACTTTTTCACTGTTAAGCTGCTGAATTCATTGCCAAAGGAAGTTCTGGATGCTAAAACTACAAATTAAAAATCTTCCAAATAAAATAATGGAAGAAAAATTCACCCCAATCTAAAAAGCCATAAAGACACTGTCTCTGTCTTGGGAAGTCTTTATGCTGTAGATGTCTAGAAATTGGAACAACATACAGAGGAATTTTCACTGTATGTCTGCCCTGCTGTTATAGTATATAGCCATTACCAGTAACAAGGTACCAGGCCTAAAATGTTTTTTGGTTCACTCCAAGGCTGCAGTTTGTGCAGCCTTAAGGGGCTTCTTCAGTGAGTGGACTATAAAGAGTGTGCCCATGATGGTGTCATAGCCACCCAAGGAGACTGGAAGGAGCTTTGCACTATCTGTGCATAGCAGAGAGTGAGAAGACAAATCTCATCAGGTCAGCGAATTATGGAGATTTTGCTTTAGTCTCTGAAATACGGCCAGGGAGTGAACCACACTTACGGCAGTTTTAGGCTGTCTACATCTCTCTAAGGCAGGCAGCTGGAATCACCAAGACTTGTCTCTGCCCAGTGCTAAAATGTCCAGCACAATGATTTGCAGGTAGTCATGTGTGGGCTGGAAATTCCTTCACCTAAGGGATGTTTTCTTAGTGTTTCCCAGAATGGAGATCTTAAAAAGCCAAAACATAGTAAGAGAAATCCCAAACCCTTTTTTGTATCACTACAAAGAAACCACATTGCTTGCTGCCTGACATGTCTACTCATGGACTGTTAAAACATGAGGATCGTGGGGAAACCTGAGGAATGAACTGGTTAACGTGCATGGTTTGATCACAGACAATGATGCACATCAGCATAAAGACCAAATATAGTAAGTCACATTTCTCAGGTGTCCTCTATTGCAAGTGCTTTCTAAATAAGTAAGGAATATACCTGTCCTGTGTCAGCATAACAGGAGAAGAAGCCATCTCCTCATCTTCCATTTTCACAGCCTCTCAAATCTATCTCCTTCTTCCTTGGATGAGGAAGCCTAGCTCAAAAATAAGCATTCATCCTTTTCTTTGCATTTCTGCTCCTGTTTCCTTCTCTTTTGACAGTGTTCTTGTAGCTAACACTCCCCACTTTGCTTATGGGAAAATTCCCCTTGATTTCGCGGGCTTTGAGTTCAGGCCCCACAAAACAATGGGCTGTTAATGGAAATTCTTAATCAAGCAGGGCATCAGCCGTAAGACTACAGATCTGGGCTCAGATGGTATTTCAGGTGTTGTGACTAGGCAAGGCAGAAAAGCAGACTTGGATCAGTCAGAGTTTAGTTCATTTCCGGCTTTATCGATATTTAACCAGTCTTGGACGCTACCCAGCAGTGACTTGGCAGCCAGTTCAGAGCATGGAGCACAGGTGTGATATGCTCCTGCCAGTTTCCCTTGCTCATAAGATGGGCAGCTGTGCTCTGTGCTAGATGACGCTTCCAAGCAGCCTTCCAGGGTAGCCCAAGGTAGGGCCTGCATCCTTAGATTAGCCTTGAAATGGCAAAGATAACCAAGTGAAAGTCCCAGAGAAAAGAGGTGATCACCTGGGCAGACCAAAAAGAAAGAGAGCATTTCCAGACATTGCTGCTATTGAAGTGTTCAGGACTGGGGCTACATCAGCTCACAAATGACTTGGAGAGAAAAGGATGAAGATGAAGCCTTTTAATAGATGGAGTAGGCACTGCCTTTCAATTCTTCAGGACTGTCTCTGCCAAGCAGCATGGCTTCTGCCTTATCTGGATTGACCTTCAGCCAGATGGCACCGATCCACAGCTCTGCCTCAGCCAGACTTTAGAAAAGGAGGGAAATGACACAGTCAGGCAGGGGTAACTGAGGCACCTTTTCAGGGAATTCACACATCTTTTGAGGAATGTAAGTTGTAAGGGCAAGTCTGGTGGGTTGGGACAAGCTGGAAATGGAGGAGGTTCTGGTCTAGCTTCTGACAGAATGGAGAGGTTTAGTTGAGGCCTCAGGAGCACTGCTCCAGATGTCTATGTATACACTGACACCGAGATAAAAATCTCCATGAAATTCAATTAATGAGTGAAGAGATTTCAATAGTTTAAAAAACAAAGGATTGAAGCTGGTTGAAAATTTCTGTATTTTTCATATTTTTGATCTGCCTGAACTTTTCTGAAATTATTTCACAGAAGAAATTCAACTTTCAATAAAAAGGAAAAAAAAAATAGCATTTTTTGAAGGATATTTTGTGCATATGTTGTGAGGGCCAGCAGAGGGAGAAGAGGGTCTATCAGCCCAGACAATTTCCAGTCATTCACATTTTTCTCCAGTGTTTAAGGTTATTTTCAAATGGAAAGAGAACCCTTAAAAAATGCAACATGTTGTAAATTTTCTGTAGACTTGCATGAAAGTGGAAAATAGATGCATATATATTAAAAAAAAAAAAAAGACCTACCTACTTTAAGAGATTGGCAGAGTTATGTCGTGGATTGCTGCAAGAATTGATGCCCGGACTACCTTGCTTTTTCCCTTTTTCTGTTTCAGGAATAAGCCTCCCCTCAAAACTTTCGTATAACAATTGTGTAACAGCTCCTATCTGACTTCTGCTCTGCCAAATCACTCCAGTCACCAAAAAGTCACAGCTCTTGTAGCTGAAATCACATCATTGTTGAGAAGAGGGTTGAGATGAAGGTTAGGCACTTGACAAGGTCTTGTCTTGTCCAAGGGTACTTGCAGAGTTGCAGCTTGATTGGATCTAGTTGCCTAGGATCACAGACAATATTCACAGGTGTGAATGAAAAAGTATTAAAACATAGAAAGTAACATAATTCAGCCCACCCACAGACTCAGAGCTGCCAAGAAGGCACCTTCTGCATAGTAAAAATCTCACTGTTTACTATGTTGTCAACCAAATAGAGGGGATGCAATACACAAGACTGAAGAATGTGTGTGTGCAGGAGGGAGAAAAATCCTTTAGAAATGCCTGCAGTAATATCTGAAGTGTTACCCTGCAAGTCACTTTTCTAAAGACAAAGAAACTACTTACAAATATAAAGTTCTAGATGTGGGCAATATGGCATAACTGCAGGGTAATAAGGAAATGGGCCATTAAGGAATGAAATTCTTGTTTAACATCTACCATGCCTGCTTTATCTCAGGACTTATCATAATAATTGCTTGGTAACATACTAAAAACATTAGTATGTATTCCACTGTAGGCCCAGGAGAATGAAGAGATCAGGTTTTGATTTTAGACATATCATTGCATCCTTAGCCTGTAGTCAACAATTGGTTGTGAGCCAGTAACGTTTTAAAGTCTTTGAACTTCAAGACTGAAAGGCACAGATCAGAGAATTACATATTTATATTCTAGGGATTCTCACACCCTGTTACGCTGACAGAACAGATTAAGATGAGAACATGCTGAATGCAATGTTTAGATACATATAAAACCAGTTTCCCACTAACCATCAGCCAAAACTGACTTGCTTCTGACTTTACTTTCAAGATAATCAGCAAATTTCGTAACGTTAGGTGAGATTTTCAAAAGGACTTCTAGTAAACCTTATTTTGAACCTGGCAAAGTCAAGGAAACATTGAAAAAATCCTGTTCATAGGTAGATGTATCTTGATACAACTATGGAGAGCACATGAGTATATTTTCCGTGCATAAACACACCTACTTTGTTGTATATAGATTTTGAAGGTATAAAATATTTTCCCAGCAAGTCCAAAACTCTTTCTCCTGCTCTGCACAGAAGATGAGAAAATCCAATGAGTGATTCCTACCAACCATCACGGAGAAATTCTGCAAACATCTGCTCAGGCTTTAAAAAAAATCACTCCCTTAGTTTTATCTTTTCCCCTTACAACTAAATCCCATTCCAATACACTCTTGCAGTGGGTCGCTGCAGAAGCTCTTTGTTCCCCTGCAAGCCAGCCCATCTGCCTCTGAGAATCCAGACTTGATCACAAATGTATTTTTAATGCACTGGGGAAAGCGTTTATTTAAAATTGTCTCATTTTCCCTCAGGGAATTTTCAATTAAACAAACACATAATAATTATTTCCTTTAATTACTCATCTCTGCTTACCTGGAGCTAGGGCACCTTTGCCCTATTACATATATGAGAGCTGTCAGATTGATTCATTAGTATTTATTTGTTTCTTATTTTCAAAACTTACCTATATAATATAGGCATTTAAAGAAATGCTGCTGATGTGTAAAAGAATTTTTTCCCTAGATGATAACAGCATAGGCTTGGTTCCTATGCTTTTCTAATGCAGAAAACATAGTGACTGCAGCACTTACGTGGAGTTACTAGGGTTGAAATGTGGTGCTTTGTTTTTCTACAGCACCACTCCCCAAAACAACCCACTAACAATTCCCACCCAGTTCTAGCCTATTTCCCAGTTCTACTTCTCCTACTCAGTTCTAGCATCTGCTAAGCCCACCTCTAGCAATGGGATGGAAGACAGATT